AAGTCCCATTATCATCCTCCTCTACTTCAACCAGGAGATAGACCCTTGGGGTAACAGGAATGGGAAGCTGGGCGTTGCGAATGGCAGTGCCTTGTCCTGAGCACTGCCTTTGGTCAGCTTTCGGGAGGACCCTTGGGCAGGAGCAGCAGGTCCAGTCCCCTGGGAACACTGCTCTGGAAATGCGATAGAGGCTACGGCTTGGGAGATAAGCAGGTCCCTGAGGAACGAGCTGTTCCTCTCTGGAGGTCACTCCCATCCCACCTCACTGCGATATACCACATAGGATCCTAGATAGTATATGAAGTTGTATACATATATGTGTGTGTGTGTATATGTCTGTATGTTTTTTCCATGAAAATAAAAAATCACAAAAAAAAATACATATATGGTCAAGAAACGTCAGCAGTTTCAGGAAAAAGCACTTTGCTGACCCAGGGTTGGGCCATGGAGGTCCCATGTGCCAGTCCCCTGGGGGGGTGACCCCTCTGTGACACTTCCCACTTGTGCCAAAGCCCCCTTCTCTCCCCAGCTTGGAGCCTGTCCAGGGTGGCAGCATCCATGGTGGCACCCAGACCTGCCACCTGGGGACGGGGGGATGGAGGGTCTCTGTGGGTGTCACTGGGGCTGTTACAGAAGCTGGCCCCACAGCTGTGGCTGGGCGGTGAGAGCCAGAATGGCGAGGAGTGGGGCACGGTGGGGGGGTGGGGGGAAGATTTTCCCCACGCACCCTCTGCACCGCCTCTGCCTCTCGGGAGGGCGCGATGATGGGACACGCTGGGGGTGGCTTTCGGCTGTTCCGCGAAGCGGCGTGCCCTTCTGGTTAGCGAAAATCCCCTGCCTCCCTCCCACTTGCGGCCGGGGGGAGGGGAAGGGGTGACACAGCCTTCTCTGGAGGTGACACCCTCATCCTGCCGCGCGCCCCCGGTCTCCCCATCGCTGCCCCACAGCCGCCCCACTGGTGTGTCCTACCACCCCTGGCAGGGTAGGGGGCTCAGGGCTGGGGAGGGCGGCTCGCCTGGTGTGTCCGGTGGGAATGATCCTTACCCCCTCGTGCTGGGACAAGGGGGATTTTCCCTGCCCAGGAGGGGAGGCTGAGGGCCAGCAGGACCCACTCAAACCCTCTGAGGCCAGCATTTCTCCCCATGACCTTGAGGCAGAGCGGGGGGAGGCAGCCGGCAGCTGAAATGCCATTTCGGTCTATAAATGGCATCCGACACTGGTCTCTCCCCGGGCATGGGAAGCGGTGACAGACTGAGCCCTCTCTGCCCTCATGCTGTGGGGCTCTTGCCCCGTTTTACAGATGGGGAAACTGAGGCACGGTGGGGTCCTTGGCCTGGCCTCTCTGCGAGACCGTGGGGCAGCCCTGGGGGGGTTGCAGGGCACTGTGAGGTGTTTTCTGGTGGTGGAGGACTCGCTTCCTACTGGGAAGGGAAGGCTTTGAGGGGGGGTATTGCTCTGCCGGGAGGTCCATGCCTTGTGCCACCCCAGCTGTGCTTCTGGGGAAGCCAAGGAGCCTTCCCTTGCCCGGAGAAGGGGACTCGCAGGGGCCTGGTGCCTGCAGCAGCCCCCCCTGCCCTCCTGGCTCGCTGCTCCCTCCTGGTTGTATCTCCCCGGGATGGTGGCTCCCACCCTCCTGGCTGCCTCCCGGGGCAATCGATGGGCACCACACGGGCCTTATCATCTGCAGGCCAGCCATGGGCAGGGCTCCCCACCGTCCCTATCAGCAGGGTGGCTCCAGACATGGGGCCAAGGGGAGCCAGCCCCATCCCTGTTGCGCTGGGAGGCCATGGTTGGGGGGGCATTGCCACAGCCCCCCCCATGCTGGCCATTCCAGGGGGAAGCTTGAGGGGCCCGGGACCCCTCTCCAGCCCGGTGGCGAGTGTGACACTGATGAATTTGCAAGGGTCCAGCTGAGGCCGTGACACTGGGAGGCTGCTGTGGAGCATGTGAAGGCAGGTGGTGACTCCATCCTCTCGTGACTGTCACCAGGATCTTTTCCCCCCCGCCCCCAACCCCATCCACTTCCATCAAGCTCTTGGCAGCAGTTTCCTCGCTGGGGGGAAGCTTGTAGGGGGCCGAGGGAGGGCCAGACGGGGCCGGCGCCCTGGGAAAGGCTTTCCTGTCCCTTTCACAAGTCTGGTTGAGTTCCACATTTTATTTGTTTCTCTTGAGTCGCGCCCACCCTCCTGCTTCCAGCGGCTCGGCAGGGTGCTGCCGGGACACCGGCGGGGAGGGGATGCCGCCTCTTCCCTAAACTCCTGGAATGGGGGGTACCAGGGTCATCTGTGATCATGCAGAGGATGGGGGAATCCCTATGATGAGGTGCCCCTGGAGGGTGGTTTCCCCCAGAATTGGCTGCAGGGCATCCCCCCACACCATGGGGTGCCATTGGTCTCGGGGCACCGGTCCTGCCTGGCACAGGGACCGGGCACAGTGAGGGATGTCCTTTGGGAGAGAGTGTCCTGACCACTCCATACCACAGAGCAGATTCTTGTCCCTCTGTGTTCTGGGACAGCAGTGACCATCAGTTACCAGAAGCTTGGAGTGAAGGTCTTTATTGTCCGCTTCTCTGGCTGGATCACAACCTGAGCTGGGTGTGAGAGTCTCATTCAGAGTCTTCGCTGTCGACCATGGCCCCAGGCCCTGGGTGGGAGAGGAGAGCATGAGGAGGAACACGTTTTGGCCTTCTACCAGCTCCTACCACGGCTTTGAAGGAGGATTTTCCTTCCCTGCCATGTCCTGGCCATGGTGAAGCCAGGGATGTTTGTCTGGGAGCCCACCATGCTCACCAGGGTCAGCCCCTCCAGCCATAACCGCGGGGAATTAGAGACGGGTGGAAAACTGCCCAAAAACCTGTGCAAATATTTGCATTTTGAGCAAATACTTTTCCAAGTATTGGGGAACGCTGACAAAGCAGCAGCGTGGGCAACACAGGCACGCTGAGAGGGTCCGCTTGGCTTTTTTTTTTTGGGCAGGATTTCAATGGTCAAACAGTTGTGGTTTTTTTTTTTAAATAAAAAAGCTGACCAAGCAAATGGGGAGATTTGCCAGTGCTGCCGCTGCCCCCTTCACCAGCTCCTTGGGGCAAAACAGCTACCTCTCCCCCAAATGCCAAGGGGGCTGTGAGCCTTCAAACCACCCCCATGCCCCAGGTGCCACAGCTCCTGTCTCAGTGCTCCACTTTCCTTCTCTGCTGAAGGGGTTTGGGGCAGGAAAGGGGCTCCCCGTGCCTGGTGCTGCTCTGCCCTGGAGTATCCCAGGGGTCTGGAGCTAAGTTTGAGCTGGTGAGGCTTGCCCAGTGCCTTGTCCCCACCCTGCAGTGTCTTGCCCATGCCAGGGAATGCTCACCTGCCATCGACTCCTGCTTGTTGTGCCAGATTTTGGCCATGGTAGCAACCTGTGTGGAGAAGGGTGACAGGGGAGAAGAGTGGCCACGGACCCTGGTGTGGTCCATGCCCACCCCAAGTGGGTATAGGGTCTGGAATAACAGGAGAAGTTGGGGGTACCCTGGGCTTCCCCATCCCACTGCATTTTCCTTCTCCACACCCATGTCCACCAGCTTCCAGGGCAGGTCAGGGCAAGCAAGTCGCAGGCATGTCCTGTCCTGCCAGCGCAGGGAGGGCTTAGGGCCATGGGCTGCAGGGACCAGATCCTTGTGTGTCACCGCGGGGCAGCTCTGGGGTGGTGACTCCTAGCCCCATTGCATGCCACCCACAGCAGGATGGGGCGATGGACTTGTCCTGGCCCCATGTGGGCCTGGGCATGGTGATGGGGCTGGGGGCTCGGTGCAGGTGGAGGTGGGTCAGTGGTGCTGGGTGTCACCCGTGCATCCGGCACCGAGAGGGGAGTGTGTGCAGCGATGGAGATCCCCGTGCATGTGTGGTGGGACCAAGTCATGCAGAGCATCGATGCGTGGGGCTGCCTCCCCGATCTGGGCTTGGGGTCCAGCCACATCCTACATCCTCCTGCCGGGCTGGCGAGATGCTCCGTGCCCTGCAGCCATACCTGCAACCACGAAGTATGCAGTGCTTGGGAGATGGAGGGGATCCAGGGCTGAATCAGGCTCAGGCAGACACTGGCGAGGAAGGTCATCATGATGCTGGAGCAGTGAGTCAAGGACAAACAGACGCAGGTGGGCTGGCCAAGGGGGCCACCACATGCCCCCGTGCAGTGGGCACCTGTGGGTGGTGCTGGCCCTGGGGCCACGTGTAGGCAGGGGAATAGGCTCCTGCATGCGACCGCCTGTGTGGTGCAGTACGTGTGCCTGCGTGCCAGGGCAGGGCTCTGCCTCCCCCAGCCAAGGATACAAGAACATCAGCACCATGATGACGGTCCACATGGGGATGATCACCAGGTAGATTAAGAAGAACAGCGGGACTGCCATGGCACAGCTCATGGTGACCATCATGAAGAGGCAGAGGCACCAGACGCCGTGGGAGCCGATGTGTTCCTTCAGCCGTAGGCAACGCTGGTAGAACTGGTGCAGCACAGGGGTGCTGGGTGGGGAGTCCCCTATAGGTCCCATGCACCCCACGGGGCTGCCCTCTGCTGTGCGTGCAGGGAGGGTGTCTTCTTGTGCAAGGTGGGGGTGAGCGTTTGTGTGTGCGCGCACGGGGCGTGCAAGGGGTGTCTGGGTGCACAGGGCTGGGTGTGCAGCGTGCAGGAAGCGTGGACAGGGGTGTAGGGTGCAACATGGAGAGCTGTGTGACAACGCATAGGGCTGGGTGTAGGGTATGGTGTGTAGGGGCTGCAGGGAGCAGGGCTGGGTGTGCAAGGTGTAACCTATAGGGATGAGTGCATATGGGACGCAGCGTGTAGGGCTGAGCATGCAAACTACAGACGGGGTTTAGGGGGTGCAGTAGGTGTGGGGGCACAGTATATAGGGCAGGACGGGTTGGAAGGCTACACAGTGTGTAGGGACAGGGGTACAGGACTTGGTTAATGGGGCTGAGGGGAGGGATGTGGTGGGGTGGGTAACATCTCAGAGACATGCAGAGCCCCCCTGGCTCCCAGGGTGCCCCACGTCCCCCACCTCCATGGAGGAGCAGCAGTGGGGGCAGCAGAGGATGTGTGGCCAGCTGTGATGGTGACACCTGTGCCAGCAGCACCAACTCATTGTGCTGCAGAGCCCCCACTTCAGCCTGTCCTCCCAGGCCACTGCCACAGGAGACACGTGGGGGGACTGTGTCCTCTCAGGCCCCTGGGACCACTCCACCACGGAGCATCCCCTGATACCCTGTCACCCCAACTAGCTGGAGAAGCCCCACGGTTGACTAAGCTGAGCAGAACCAAGCTAGCAAGAACCAGGAGGAAGAGGACAGTGGTGGAGCTGGGGACACTGGCGTGAAAGAGCAGCTCAGCTGCCCCACATCCCCAGAATGGGGCTTGGTCCATGGCTATGGGGTGACTTACAGGAAGGAGACCAGCGAGCTCAGGTAGATGAGGGTGCTGAAACAAAGGGGGATGAGAAGCTCTGTGGTGGGCTGGGCAGCTGCAGGGCCCCAGCCTTGGGCTGTAGGGCACCCTGCTCCCATGGAAACCACAGCACAACAGATCCTCCCATTCCATTCCCGTGGCAACTGCAGCATCCTGCTTCCATGGCAGGGTGCTGGGGACCTGTTTGGGGTGCTGGTGCCACTCTGGCTTCAGAAGGAACCCAATGCCAGAGGGGCAAAGGGTGGGGGCTTGAAACTGGGAACCCAGTACAAACCAGTGCTCATTTTCCTTGCGGTGCTGGGAGGACACCAAGAGCCTTCAGCACTTCTGGGACCCATAAGGATGCTGGGATCCATCTAGGGCAAGGATACGCTGCTCCCCACGCCTAACACCCCAACTCCCCACTTGGTGTGTCCCCTCCAGCCCACCGTCCCCCTCCCCATGCCCAGGCTCTGCTTCTATCCCAAGAGGCCATGGCGCTGAGCGCTGGGCCAGCCCTGCCCTCTAGTGTCTGAGGAGCCGCTCTCAGCAGGGCTCTGCCCCGGGCTGCTGCGAGCTGAGCCCTTGCAAACTCCTCACATGGCCCACAGAGCCACGCAGGGTCTGACAGGCTTCCCACAGCCCTGCAGCATCACCTCCCACCCAGCCACCACTGCTGGTGGGGGAGACACACAGGAGGACGAGTCCCGGACCCTACATGGCACCATGGGGACCCTGGCACCACGAGCCCACCTCCGGGGTGCCCGAGGGGGTGCGTAGGCCAGCGTTAACCCCAGCGCAGGTGCCCTGCTCCCCACACTTTGGGGACGCGCAGGCGCACCAGCACGGGTGACAACCACCTTCCCCGGCACCCGGGGTCAATAACCGGGCGGCCAAGGGGGCACGGCAATGGGCGCCCGCAGCGGCGGAAGAGGGAGGGGAGCGCTGGAAGTTGCTGGTTAAACTGGAAGAAGGCGCGGCGGCCTCCCCGCGGTCCCTGCCCTGGGGACTCTGACCCCGTGGGCCGGCCAGGGGAGCCGAAGCAGCCGGTGCCGAGCAGCCCCGCAGGCGCTGGGAGGAGCAGAGCAGGATGGACCCCACCATGGAGCTGGCAGAAGACCCCAGGTGGGTGCTGGGGAACCCACCGTGCCACTTGGTAGCCGGGCAAATCCAACTTTTTTTGGATCAGGATTTTGGGTTATTCCCTCTGCCAAGGAAGGGAGGTGCCTGGGGGTGAGGCGAGCCGGACAGAGGACACCAGGGACCCTGCGGGGCTGTGTGTCCCCGTGTCCCTGCCGTCCCCATGCAGCGCTCCCCTTCTTCTCTGCAGGTTCCCCCTCACGGTGGTGGAGATGCTGATCAAGAACTTCAGCGTGCCACCAGCCTGCTTCTCCCTGCCACCCACCTCCCGGCAGCTGCTGCAGCGTAGGTGGGGGGACTGGGCGGGGGGGACCCTCCTCTTGCCACTGGTGGGAGCAGGACAGGGGTGATGGAGGGAGGGTGGCCGTGGTGGCTGCAGGCAGGGAGCAGCCCTGAGGAATGGGGAGGCAGCAGAGTGCTGCCAGGGTCTCAGCCTCCCACCCCGTAGCCCTCCCTGCGGGGATGGAGGTGTCCCAGGGAAGGCCAGCACTGGTGCAGGTGACACGGGAACAGAAGCACCAGTTCTGGCACAGCCAGACGTGCTGAGGACGTGGCAAGGGGCTTCCCAAACTTGCGGAGCGGTGGGTTGGGTGGCAGCTCCCCGCTGTAGTGGCCTCAGGGGGGACAGGACAAGATGGAGATGGTATCTCACTCCTCCATGGCAAGGGGCTTCCCAAACCTGTGGAGCGGTGGGTTGGGTGGCAGCTCCCTGCTGCAGTGGCCTCAGGGGGGACAGGACAAGATGGAGATGGTATCTCACTCCTCCATGGCAAGGGGCTTCCCAAACCTGTGGAGCGGTGGGTTGGGTGGCAGCTCCCTGCTGCAGTGGCCTCAGGGGGGACAGGACAAGATGGGAGGTGGCTTCTCACTCCTCCATGGCAGATCTGGACATGGCCCAACTCACCATCATGGGCCTCGCCACCATCATGGCGCTGCTGTCGGTTGCAATCTTTGTGGAAGAAGCTTTCTACCTCACTCGTAAGATCCGCTGCCCCATCAAGATGACGACCCTCCGCTGGAGCAGCTCAGCCCCTACGGTGAGCTGGGGTGTGGGGATGGTGGAGGGGCATCACCCCGGGGGGCCAGAGCCACCCAAGGGGTGCCAGCCCATAGGAGGGGGTCAGCAGCATGCCAAGTTTGCATCTCCCCCAGGTTGTGTGCGTAGTCAGCTGCTTCGGGCTATGGTTCCCACGCTCCATGATGGTGGTGGAGATGGCTACCACGGCGTGAGTATCACCTACACCAGGGCAGGGGCACTGGGGAGCTCATGGGGCCTGACCTGCCTTCCTCTTCCTCCTCTCCAGGTACTTCTCCATCTGCTTCTACGTCATGATGCTGGTCATGGTGGAGGGCTTCGGGGGGAAGGAGGCGGTGCTCAGTGCCCTGAAGGACGTGCCCATGGTGGTCAGCACCGGGCCCTGCTGCTGCTGCTGCCCCTGCCTGCCCCGAATCACCATGAGCAAGTGAGGGATAGTTGGGGTAACCCCCTTCTTCTGCTGGAAGAGAAGTCCCTGGGCAGGGGCTCGGGGACCTCAGGGTGCTACCGGTCTCTCTCGCTGTTCCAGGAGAAAGCTTCAACTGATGTTCCTGGGGACTTTCCAGTACGCCTTCTGCAGGGTGTTCGCTGTCTTCCTGGGGCTGGTCCTGTTCACCGACGGGAACTATAACCCCGCTGACGTGAGTGCCAGGGCACGGGGATGGGCAGGATGGGCAGGGTGACGTCCCAGATGAGGAGCCTCCACCAGCCCTCACCTTGCCCAGCAGGTTTATCAGCCCAGGCGTGTTTTCTCTGTGTGTCCCCTTCCAGATCTCGGCAGAGAGCGTGGCCCTCTGGATCAACACCGTGGTCGGTGCCTCCACTCTCTTTGGGCTGTGGGCCCTGGGCATCCTTTTCCGTCAGGCCCGGCAGCACCTGGCTGAACAGAACATCCAGGCCAAGTTCACCTGCTTCCAGGTGAGCCCCCGTCCTGCCCCACTCCCCCCTGGGTGAGAGGCTCCTCCCGCGTGAGTGGGGAGGAGGTGGTGGGGAGGAGATGGTGGGCAAGAGCCAGGTCCAGCTGTGGGAGAGTGGGGAAGGCGAAGGGCAGAAGCCTGGCAGCAGCAGCATGGCACCCACCATCTCTGGTGTTGGTGGTTGCAGATGCTCCTTGTCCTGACGGCACTGCAGCCCGCCATCTTCAGCATCCTGGCCAACAGTGGCAGCATCGCCTGCTCACCACCCTTCTCCTCCAAGGCCAGGTCCCAGCGTAAGTCGGGAGATGGGGAAGCAGCATGGCCTGCTCCCGGCCGAGCCCCTCCGCTGCACAGCGGGGCCCAGGGAACGGGCAGGGCTGATGGAGGCAGCTTCAAATGACCCTTCTCCTCTTCCAGAGATGAACATGCAGCTATTGATCCCGCAAACCTTCATCCTGGCCGTGGTGACCCGCATGTACTACCGCAAGCAGGATGACAAGCCGGGCTACCAGCCCGTCAACTTCCCACCCACAGGCACTCAGGTCAAGGCGTGAGCAGGGGGGAGCAAAGCGGGTGCTGAGGGGCAGAATTATGCCGGGGAGCTGGTCCGCCCTGTACAACCATCTCCTCCTCATCCGACCCTGGGAAGCTGCCGGCAGCAGAGGAGGCAGAGGGGGAAAGGGCATCTTGGCGTGGGGTGAAAGGGTCTGAAACCTGGAGGCCACAAGCCAAAGGGATCCGTGAAGCCGCCTCCAGCCGGGGGAGGCTCTTGTCTGGCACTGAATAAAGATAAATTTGTACCCAAGTCTTGTGTTGGTGACTGGGCTTGGATAACCCCAGGGTGGGTGGGAGATGACCCCACACAGGGGGAGGAAGATGGAGCCCAGACCAGCACAGCTACGGCTTGGGGCTGTCACAAGGTGCCCAACATCCAGCTGTGACACTGACCTCTGGGTGCTGCTGGCTGGGCTCTGACAGCCAAGGGAATGCCAGGGCAGCAGCAGGTTCTCCTGAGACCTCTGGGTGGGTCTGGCCTGTCCCTGGGGCATGTCCTTCACAGCAGTGGCTGCTCCTGAGAGAATGGTAGGAGTATCCACCCCTTGCCAGCCTGGTGCTGGGCAAAGGAAGCAGCCTTGAAGCACCTTCATAACACAGGCAATTAGTTAATTGCCTTAACACAAGTCTTAACCAGCCTTGAACAGGATCAGGTCCAGGAGTAGTATCTACTCTACACCTACAACAGAGGTGAGGATAGACATCAGGAGCAATGACGACTTACAGAAACCTCTGGGTTATCTTTTTCTCCCCACTGAAGCATGTTCTCACTCAAACCACTGCCAAGATGGCAGGTGAGGAGACCACGACGTGAGCTGGCTGTGCTAGGACGGCAGAAGGCATCTGGCACACACTGAGTAAAATGACTCTGCGCTTATTTGGCTTAACATTAAAAGCCAAAAACCCAACTCCAGAAGAAGCCAGTAAGACACAGGGGTGAGCACACAGCCCCATAAAGAGAAGCCAGCAGAGCAAACACTGACTGGGAAGAGCCTGCGTGAAAGCAGCCACTGCTGCAGGGCTGGAGGTGACACAGGGTGGCCGGAGATGGGCAGCAGATGCCAGATCATTAGCCCTAAGACCAGAGCCTGCTGCTGGGCACCACCGTAGCTTCCCCTGATCTGCACCCTCCCACCCTAACACCTCTGAGAAGTGTGACACGTCGGGGAAGCGAAGAGTCAGACAGCCAAAGCTCCCAACTTTTATTTATCTGATTCCTCTTCGGGGGAAAAAATCAAGTTTTCTGTCCCATGAGGAGGGGGAAAAAGTGACTCTGAGCTTTTTGTGGGTGTCTGTGTTTAAAGTGAAACTGCTCAGGCGGAAGATGCACTGGTGATTAGTTATGAGATTGCCAAATCTGACAGACTCCTGGCAACAGCACACGGCCATTACCAGCGTGGCTTTCTAGGCCCCCGAAGCAGCGCTGGGGACAAGCAATCTCCTGGTTTGGCCAAGAAGCAAAATAACGGGACTCGTCCCCTGCTGTCAGCCAGCCAAACCTAGCTCCTTCTCTGAGGGCAGGTAGGAAACCCACACCTTCACAGCAGCAAGAAGCCCTCCCTGAAAGCAGGGGGCAAGAGACAGGGTCTGTTCCACCAAAGTCACCGCTACTGCCAAGTGGATTCACTGCTCCAGCACCTGCCTCCAGTTAGAAGAACTGGACCCCAAAATAAAGTGCTGACCCTCTATAAAATGCACAAAATCATGTCAGTGCAGGTTTGTACTGTAATTTCCTCAAGAGATGAGAAACCTTTGCCTTCAACCCTCAGCAGCACGATGTTAGAGTGCCACACTTCTCATGCCTTGCTTCTACCAGCATCCTCGGCACCTTTCAGCTTTGCCCTGCTCCTGCTGTTCTCTGCCACGAGAAAATCCTCTCCCAGGGCCCGGCCGGTGGTGCCAACGGCTTCACGTCCCAGATCTAGAGAGAAACTGAGGTAGGGCTGCCTTGCAGGAATCGACACCTCTGGATTTAGCAGCATCAAACTCCACATGTTCTTCAATGCATGCTAGTAAAGTTTCATTTTTCCACTCTACCTCTTACTTCTTGCTTAATTCCAGCATGTCTCTTCCAGATGCCTGTTTAAGAGTGTGGGATGTGTGAGGGATGTGCCGGAGAGCCCTGAAGCAGCAGCACTAGGTATATCTGCGGGTAACAAGAAGTTCCTGGAGAACTTGGCTCACATGTCTTGCCCAGAGATCAAGCTCTGTCCTATTCCCGATAGGACAGGGAAGCACTGGAGATAAAGCTGGTGCAGCAACCCAGGAGGAAATACAAAAAACAAAGTGGGTGGAAAGAAAAAAAAAGACTAGTCTGGGATTTGAGTGTCCATTTTAATTTAAGTGCAAGGAGGAAGCAGGGATTATTGGTTACAATAATAATAACAGCTCTGTTATTCCAAGCTACATGTAAAACCATGGCTGGCTTCTTACCAAGCACCCCAGGTTTTGCAGGGAGATCAAGAAATATGTTAAGGTCTCCGTAGAACAAACCACCATCCAAAACACCATTGTAATCCAAAATTACAGAACACTGTTGCATAACTTGTGTTTAAAACAGTAGTAAGGCTCTAAAGCAGCCTGACCTTTGTGATCCGGCTCGGGAAAGCAACGCAACACCCATACTGAGGGAGGGGTGAGGAAGGGAAGGTGGGGAGGATGAGGGAAGAGAGAATGTGGGGGATACAAAGTTAAGTGCTCTACCACTCATAAACCAGGGATCAACAACTGGCTTGTTCCAAGTGACCGTTATGTGCACCTTACAGCTTAAATCCACAGCAGCCAGCCACACTCCCAGAGCCGTGCGGGTCCCTGCTGAGAGAGGTCCAAGTGGCAGATGAGGAATCCCCAAAATACCTTTTCCCATACCAGCTCTGGCCTCAACAGAAGCACAGAGCCTCTGTCAAGCCCTTAAGGCAGCATGACAAAGCATCAGCAAGATAAAAGCTGGAAAGAAGCAGCAGCCTGCTCCTATCACAGGGCTCCCGTGTCTCCTGGAAGCCTCCTTACACGTGCTGCTCGCCAGGTCCTGCATCCTGCTCTGGAGACCTCCCTGCAGTATGGCTGACCAGGCTCCGAGCTGCTCCCAGCACAGCAGGACAATACAGGCAACTCAGCCCAGCAGCTCCATCCAGAGACAACGGATATCACAGCCAAACCCAAACAGAAAAGCAAGTGGGAGCTTCGCACCGACCTGCTCTGTACACGGGCATGCAGCATGGGGAGGGCAACTGCCCGCGGGGAGCCGCGGGCCACAAAGCTCAGTGCTCATTACACACACAACAACAGGCACGACTTGGACCATGGTTTCAAACGAGCAGATTACACGTTTAAAAATCTCAAAAAGCTGCAGTGCTCTCTGATGCTCTCTCGCCCACCTCAAGGAGCAGAGTAAGCGGGCACAGATCTGTGCATTGAGCACGCAAAGCAGGAAACTGTCACACGGGACCGGGACCCTTCACTGGGGTAAAACATGCCCTTCATCTGTCCAGCTGCACACACCAACCCGGACAGCAAAACCAGCTGTACACAAATTCATGTTTTGTCTTTATAGCAGCGACTTCACGGCACCAGTGTAAAAGACTGCTCCAGTCCCTAGAGCACAGCAACTGAAACACAGACAAGGACACACAGAGCACAGTGTTGAGGAGCCATTTGGACAGACAGCAAGACTTAGTACACACCAGAGACCGGGACAAGGAACTTCTCCAAGGAGTACACACATTCATTTCCTACCTGGGCTCTCACGCACCCAAGGAAATGTACAGAGAGCAAGTGCCCCGAAGCAAAGATTAATTCTCTTCTCTCCAACAGCAACTGAGGGCTGAATTTTAGCTCAAGATTTAGCAGCCTTGTTAAGATTAACTGGAAAGGCCTTTCCCCTGCTGCCCCCGTACCCATTTGGAGCTGTGAATGCCACATGCTTATGGGGAGTGCGACTCTATGGTGCCGTGACTTCTTCCAGGGTGCAACTCCTGCGTGCCAAGCTGGCAGCCCCCTCCCCAGCATGTCCTCACTGCCACACACCGGGAAGCTCAGATAAGAGACGTGCAAGCACTACAGGGTCTGCTGGACAGGATTCCTATTGGCTCCAGGGCAGCAGAGAAGTCTCTATTTCCTAGAAGCTTCTTTACACCACCGCTCCCTGTGTGCTCTTCGAGGTCGTGCTCGTTGAGGAACCGAGGGGCCTTTCGTTTGGCAGCAGCACGGATACTGCCTGGGCTCGTGGGGGAGTAAGACAGGGGAGCTGAAGGAAAGAAGGGACAGATGGGTCCTCCCACTTTCCCTCTTGCCTGGAGGTTTTACAGAGGAAGAGAAACCAAAACAAAAGCCACGCTTGAGTGCTATTCTTTGCGCTTTAAAAGAGTATTTTCTTAAAATATAAAAACCATCTTCCCCCTGGAAACCACTAGAACGTAAACAATAAAAAGGGGATTTGGGGAGGAGAAGGGAGAGGAGGTTTGAATGTGCTTCCAGGCAGCAGCCCTTGCTAAGAGCAACGGGTGCCTCCAAGGCCCTGTGCTCACCGTCAGCCCTGTTCCTATGGCTCTCTTGCACATTTAGAGTTCCCCAGTGGGTCCGGACTTAGGATTCGGCGATTAGTGGTTCGCAGCAAATCCCGGCGGGTAGCTTAATCCTCTTCATCCTCACTGATGTCGTAGGTGACTGCAGACTCGTTCCTGGAGCGGTTGGCCGGTGAGGAAGGAGGAGTCTTGGTTGAAAAGGGCCAGCGGAAGGATGGAGACGGGGAGCGGTCGTGCGTGGGGCTACTGCTGGGACTCTGCTTTGGGCTGATGGCCTGCAGCATCCGGCCCTTGCCCTCCTTCAGCATGTGTTTCTAGTGATGGAAGAAGGAAGACAGTTAGCGTGGGTCAAACAGCGATGGAAATGGACACTACTTACAGCTTGTGTGGCATTTTGAGTTGTGTCCCTTCAATGCCTCACGCAATACAAGAGCAGAAAAAGCCCAAGCATCACTCTAGCCTTTGGAAACTGCACCCAGTGTAATCATCACCCATTTTCAATTACCTCTAGCATGAAGTGCCTGTGATATTTACCCAGCAGCACAGGAGAGACTGGCAAAAACAAGTAGCACAAGCTGGAGTTTACATGCTGGCTTGTGGGACATGGGGACTTCTGACACTACAAAAGTAACTGGCGTTCTCCAGCTGGCAGGGTGAGGGCTCCCTGTAAAGCGGCTGCCCAAGCCTGGGACAACTGGTCTGGAGACAGGCATCAAGCACTGCAACAGATGGTAAACCTTTGCTCTGCAGAGCATGGGCTCCAGAAGCCCCACAACGACTGCTGCGCTCTCCAAAATCCCCCTTCCTCTTTTCCCAGAGCAGATCCTTACCAATGCACCTTCTGGGCCAAACATCTCCAGGAAATTGCCGATGAACTCCCGGGACTTCTCTTCCCACTTCTGAATGAGATCAATACTCTTCTCCTCCACTTTCTGGACAAATTCCTTTGACTTCTCCTCTACATCCTTCACCCTCTTTTTCACCTTATCCACACGCTCCTGGAGGTGATATTTCTTCTCCTGTACAGTAAGCAGATCAGAATATAGCTCACCAGATCTGAGTGGTGACCACCTCTGCCCTGTGTTATTACACTGAACTGCTGCCTAAGACTCAGCATCTCCATTAGTTTTGTGACACTTCTTCAGTTCAGTGACACTTCTTCCCTAGACTAAATGGCAGACACACTGGGGCTATGAGACGCTTTGTGGCAGGCACTGGCAGAGTACACAGTGCAAGACTAAACCCAGAGATAGGCACTATCTCATAGGAGTGCATGGAGGAGGGAAATATTTATACATTGTACAGATTAGATTTGAGTGACCTGCTGAAAGTCTCTTTGCGTATCACAATCACACAAGTCTTTTTGCTGGGTGTTTTTAAACAGAGTTACATGCCAAAGACAGGTCAAGCAGCCGTTACCTCTCCTGTTTCATTTTTGTATTTGATTGTATTTTAAAAAATAAGTACAGTATCTGAGTGATAAAAAAAAAAAATGTTTACTATTTTACTTCCAAGATCAGAAGTGCCTTCTGCCATGTATTCTGCTTGTAGGCTAGAGTTGCTCAGCACAGGATCAGAGGATGTCCTTCTTTCCTACCCAAACACTGCTGCTCCTGCAGCTCCAGGAAGGGAGTAATACAGTGAGAACAAGATCAGATTTTATTCTAACAAATGACTCTACCTGAAGAAGGTGGCTGAGGGAAAGAGAGAGATGAGACATGGCAGCTGCTGCCAAAAACAACCCACACTTCATGCAAGAAAACACACATTTCACCACACACCCTGTCTCCAGCTCTTTCAACAGGCAAAATGTCACCAAGACATTTCTGACAATGGAGGAGTATTAGCAAAACCCCAGTTCCTCTGGGTGGGTCTCAGAGGCAATTTCAAGTGCAGAAGTGGCCTAATTTCTACTCCAGAGACACTACTTTAGTGCAACTGCTTAGCTCTGCAGACTTTTACTGGCATATGGCAGGACTGTGCTACCACTAGGTCAGACTCTACATCTCTATACTCTGAGATTTTGCTTCACGCAGCTTGTAGTGAGACATGTGGCTTCAACTCACGTTTATGAAGCTGACGTTGAGCTCCTTAGCAGTGTAGCCCCGCTGCAGGTTCCGTCTGGCGTACACATCATAGTCCCGCACGATGCGGGTGATGATATCTGACGTTGAGATCCCTTCAGTCCTCTGCGTCGGCGCAAACATGCCTAAAGTCGGGGAACAGGACCCAGGACAGCTGTAGCAAGACACATGGCAAAAAGCCACTGCCACCGCTATTAGGAAACAATCCCTCCCGTCAAGAGCTCATTTCCTAGAAACAACTAGAGGAGCCACTTTGCCAAGTTCACGAGATTCTCCATTTGTGAGAATCCGTAAGCCAAACTGCAGTATTTTTTCAAAAAGTGGTTGCTAATTCAATCACAATAACTAGACTGGACATTGAACAATCTCAGGGGCCTGGAACGTTGAACAGTCCCAGCCTTGTGAAGTGGGGCTCAAAGGCAGGGTTCTTCTGCCCTCAGAGCCTCCTGGGCAGACCTTGTTCCCAGAGGGCCACTGCCACTTCCCCAGGCGTAATCCTGACATACAGGGTTACAAGAGAAACTACAGCAGATCTTTGACCGCGAGCCCTGGAGAATCTGACCCAGACCCACCTGCTTCTTTTATATGCTTATAAACATCATCACTGCCAGCAGAGGAATAGGGGATGTCATCGTGCGCAACAAAGTCGATCTGAAAATTAAGAAAGCAATGCAAGTTAATATTTTATCTTGAATGCACAGGTCTGCTGCTGACAAAGGATTGTAACTTTTTCCTGAAAACCTCCATGCAGGAGTGTGACAGAGAATAGCAATATGCTTTGCTCAAAAAGCAACCCAGATCAGTCCCAAGTTCTCACTGGCAATTGCGTATCAATTGTTAAGCACACACCAGAGAGGAAAGGCTGGGACTGAGGACACGGCTGTTTTGAACTCCCCAGAGAAATGGTTTCTTAATGGCAACAAGGGTAAACGAAGCAAACTCCCTTGGAGACTCCTTCACCTCCCAAAGCAGTTCAACAGATGTTAGAGACTCTGTTCACTTTATCTTGCCAACTGATAAAAGACTCTCAAGACAGCTCGCCTGGTCTCCTGCTGCAGGGAAGCTGCTGTAGATCTAAAGCTGCTGCTGCTGCAAGCAAGGAGTTTGACAAGATGCCCTCCAAAAATCCTTTCCAACCCACGTTGTCCTCTCCCTGCTGTGTGTTTCTCACCGATCTGTAACGAGCATCAACTTTTCCTGGAAGCGCAAGAACCCTCTTAGGACTTTTCACCATGTCACAATCTCTACCTTATTTTAACATTACCTGCCAGCTCAGCACATGCTTCTAGTTTCTCAAGAAACCCGCTCAATTCCCATAACCCAGCTCATTCTATATTTAAGGAGTTTCAACAGAAACCGGTTGCTCAGGCAGAGGTCATCCCCGCGGATGAATTCTTGCTGTAAATAGTGGGCACAGACAGAGGCTAATCAAAACTCAGAACAGATCAGATGTCACAAATTACCCTGTGCTCTGCCAGGAACTCGGGGGTGAGCGTCCACGGGGCGTTTCTCACCACTTCGTCCACGTAGCGACAGTGCTGCACGGCGTCGTACCGCTCGTTTTCATTCATCACCGTGAAGCCCTTGAAGTTGTGGGTTAGCTCATCGCTGCAGACTGAAGAGAGAGGCACAGAGAAGAGTGAGCTCGAGGAACTCACCCCAATGCTTTACAGCAAAAGGGCCTTGAACGCACCCCTGGCAGTTCCAGATGCTGATGGAGGCTGGATCCGGCACTTTCAAACCCAGCTTTTCCAGCAACAAAGCACCAGGAAAAGGGAGCAGTGCAGGGCATTAAGCTCCTGCGCAATTCCAGGCTGTTTGGAGGATTTCTGCGCAAGACCTACACTCCATGCCCTCAAGACCTCTAGAACCTTAAAATGCTTATCAAGAGAACCAGCCAATACAGAAGACAACTCTCCTGCATGAAACAGCACCTGGGGACCTATCGGGCAGAAATCTGCTTTTAAACCTTCGGAAATCTCAGGCTTGGAAACTGAAGCTCATGAAAAAGCTTCTGATTTCATAAAATGCCATATCACAATCTAGTTCCTGGAAAGTTGTATTAAAACACAGGGTGAGTTCACAGCAAATCAACTTAGCTTAATTATTATGCTCTATGAGAAAACAAATGAGCAACTCTTCATAATCTGCAATGTAAGATATTAAGAAGGAGGGAGTTTTATTTGGTTATCAGACTCAAAAGTAAACAAGGCATTAACAGTCTCACTGGTATTGGACATACTTATGTTCCAGACAAACAGATGATAACGAGCGGGTGAGATTGCTCCCAGCTTGGAGCTAATGTTCACTTGGGCTGTGGCTTCTTGCCTTTCAGTTCCTGGTGCACAGGGATCAGTTCATTGCCCTCCACCTCCTCACCAGTCTCCCAGAGGCAGAGAACATGATTACGCACCTTACTACATTAACATGTTAATAGTTTGACCTGAAGTTATTTTCCTGCCTGATGTACAACATTTACATACATAGGGATGTCTTTCCACTTCCAAGATTTCTAAGCTCAGAGCGTTTTGTAGATTGGAGCAACTATTTCAGCTCTCCTCTCTCTCTTCCCCTTCCAGACACTACTATAGCACACAGAAAAAATGCAGAAGTACCACTATAAAAATGCCCTCAGCAGTGAGTGAAACTGTGATAAGGGAAAAAACCACACGAAGACGTTATGGTCGCTCCCTCACAGGATCAGAGTTTCAGTTCGCTTCGGAAAGCTAATGGTAGTTGAGAAAACTAGTTAAAGGCATTCTCAGCTCTATCACTTTAACATCATTACACAGCCTGACCAGTGGCCACCTCCTGATAGACAACATGCACAGCCTGAAATGTCTTTAAGGCGGGTGAAGGTACAGGCACAGAGGCACCCTGTGGATGGAGGCCAGCACATTACAGCAGCCAGAAAAAAGGGTTTCCTCTTTCCCGTTATATTCCTGAAGGAGGCCTGGCTGAAACACCTCTGCCAGATACCCTCAGGCAGTCAGCAGGACATTCCCAGCATCATGTGAAGACCTTTGAACCTAACAAAAAAACCCAGGGAACTTTTGTTTGCAGAAATGGTTTCCATATGGCATGGAAATTCCAGGCACCACACCATTATCTCCACGCTCCTAAAGGGACCTGTTTGGGATTAGCCATAAGAAATCCCCAGCAGAGAGCTGGAGCGGGGAGGGGGTGTTTGACTTGCAGGGCAATACAGATGACACAAAGCTCAAACAGCCACAGAGGGACTGTTCCTCATTCAAGAGGCAGATGCTTGACTGCCCCTAATATACTTTGATATTCTGACGTGCAACTCACCGGTATCTGTCACAAAATAGAGGGGTCAAGTTAGAACAGCCTGATCAGAATCTTTTCCTTAAGAGCTCATTTGGTAGAGGACATCTTTCTGCACACACATTAATTCTCAACATATTGCAATAAGACTCCAAGAACATTTGGAATGCAGAGAGTGCCACTAAGGCCATAAAGACAAAAACCCTGCTAAGCTACCTGTAGGCACAACCACAGAGAGAGGTAAGCTGTGCTCCTACGACAGCCAAAGTCAACAAGGTCACTCCTTACCTCCAACAATGAGGTATGTGTTTGGGAAGAGGTTCTTTGCTTGCATCAAGGCCCGGGCATGTCCAGAGTGAAACAAGTCAAATATTCCATCCGCATAAACTCTGACGGGGCGATCCACTGTGCCAAAGAGACAAAGAGACATTTGTGAAGATGCCTTCCTGGAAAAGCAGCTGCCTGCATTTGGGGACCTTCTGAAACTCATTGGGGCGTTGCAGAAAACTGGCAGAAAGCAGAGCCACAGCCAGGAAAGATTTGTGAAGAGAAATGGCTGGTGCTCTGCCTTCCCACACAGAAACAAATGCTGCTGAGCACAGCGCTGAAATATAACCATGTTCAAAGACAGACTCAAAACCTACCACGTACCCACCAAAACGACGTGAAGGGAGACCAAGGGAAAATCAAACCCTGGACATCTCCTTCCTACGGAAATCCAAATGCAGCATTAACTTTTTGCACAGCAGTGAGCTACCAGGAGGAACTGGCAAAAATGTTTCAGAAGTGCCCAATCCACCCCCGCCAGCCACAATGGCACCTCAGGACCTTGTCAGCATCCTCCTCTGCAGCCCGCTGCTACAGCTACCAGTCTGGCTGAGGGACTAGACTGTTTCGATTCCCCACCAGCATCACTGGTTCCCCCCAGGCCTGGGAGATGTGTGACTGCATCCAAAAACCCAGCTGGACTACTGAAAGAAAAGCAGATACGGTTCTGCTGAACCACTGGCACCATCAGCTAAACCCACACATAAATAAGGAGGAACAAAGTTTTCCTCAGGCCACCAATTCCAGGGGAAATTGTAGCTCTTCTCTTTGAGGTCAGCACAGAGGTAAACTGAAATAGGGTAGAACTGCCACGTAATAGCAGGAGGCTTCCTGGCTTCTGTTCTCCCAGGACCACATAAGAGACCCCCAGCTCTCTTGCTGCTGGTAACAGAAAGCCACATATTCTTGTTATCCAACACATCTGGGAATGGCTTGCTGCTCTCTGGCCCAATTCAGGCAGACTCAGATGAGTGGTGTGAGCGGAGGCACACCAAAGCTGCAGTGACAAAGGGGAAGAGATAGGACCTAGAAGGAGAACTGAAACCCCGTTGAGTCTAAGCAGGGCTTTGAACCTTCCTAGAGACAGAGTTGATGCAAAGGTAGGGTTGTTAAATTCCAGCTAAACAGACCAGTCAGCCCGAGGACAGCCTCTAAAATCACTTTTCAGCCAGTCCACCTCAGCCTGATGATGTCAGGAGGCTCTGGAGAGCCAAGGATCTGGAGATCTGAGACCACAAAAGCTTTCTGTATGCCAGAAGAGGGCTGGTCCTGGAAGGCCTTTACTAAAGTGCAATCATGTTCTGGAAAGTGGCTGGGACATCCTTCCCTTTTCCTCCACACCTGCAGCAGCTACAGTTCCTGAGCACAGGCACAAATAGCAACAAGGAAGCATGCAGTGCACTTCAGTTTTAGCAGGCAGGAGAGCCATCACTATTGAAATCAGAGACCTTTGTGCAGGCTCTGGAGATTTTCAACTGGGAAGTCATTGTGGACTATGAAAATCATTGGTTTTCCAGAACCTCCTGCAGGAAACCACTGCCAGGTCTCAATCTGAGCAGGATCATCTCTCAGCAGCAGTCAGGGAGGTAGAACTGCAGTATTTTTATTGTCTCGGTTTCCGTAACAGAGAGGCCAAGTAAGACAACACCATCTGCACACTCTGGCAAGAGAGGGCAGCCATCCTTCAGTCAGGAGTCAGTCCTGCCTCTGCCTCCTCTTTGGACTTGCAAAGAGAGCAGTGTTTCTCCTAGTCTGGTTTAAAGACTAAAAGGACATGTTCTTGTTGTGGGGCTGGCCTACTGGGCTTAGTAACACTGACTTTAATTCAAATCCAGACTAGAATGGGACATTCTGGACAACAACGTATGTTGATTTTATTTGCCCATCTCAAGTTTCAGAAGACATGACTTTACAAGTGCTTTACTTTAAGCTACCTCAGACAAAGTAATGCAGAAAAATGTTCAGCGCTGATGCAACTCTATAGCTGTCAGTGGCATAGAAAGAGCTAAAGCACAAATATATATTTGCTTCAAATAGTCTTACTGGTGAAAGTACAGCTCTTCACACACAAAGGTTCCAATTTCAGTTGTACTGGCAGGCCCAGTTTCACAGGGAAAAGTTATCTTATCACCAAAGCATTAACTAAGTCATTGGCTGCAAACCTGGCGTGACACACAAGGTTGGATCAGTCTCAGAGATACCAAAATCATCACACCCCCACCTTCCCAAAACTCAACATTTATACAACCTTTTCAGCCCGGTTTTTACTTACAAGGAGTCCCTCTCATCGCTTCTTCATATGTTACTCTGATGTATGGCTTGCTGTAATCGATTTCCACTTCATCTGAAAACGGAGCCGGCTCCCTCAGTCCCTAAACAGCCAGAGAAGGTCAGCTGTGAGAACGCAAAGGGGAATGCGTAGTGGCAGCACTGCCACTGCAGCCTCCTAGTCACCGAGTGACTCACTGTGTCTCTGCAAGGTTCAAACACGTGTCCTGAAAGACTAATTAGTGTTAAACCTCAAAACAGCCCTGCAGGGCTATTAGCCTGAGTTTAGAGAGAGAGAGAGAAAATTCGACTTGTGGTAGTCATACTGGCACCAAGAAAACCGGAGGCTCAGATCTGCAGCTGGTAAAAAACAGATTTTTGACAAACAGCAGTCCATGGCAGCGCAAGCCAAGCTTCATTAAACCTCACTGTCGCAGCTCCAGCTATGCCCACCCGGGCAAGACCATCGCTTTGCTGTGCTTGACTGCTCGTGCTGCGGTGGTACAAATTGTAACAGCTCCTCCATTTGAGTATACGAACGAGCAGAAGGGCAATACCAACAGCAGCACAAATTCCCACGGAGCATGCGTATCGTCACCCATTTCTGAGCCACACACGGTGAGAGACTGACCTCGATCCGTGGCAGTGTATCTCCAGCTGCCGCCCGAAAACCCCTCTAATCTGCTAGCTTGACCAGAGCAGTATGTTTAACCAGCAGCTCAAGTCCAGATATCACTTCTGTTCTCCCCTGAATGGAGCCAAAACATCTGCCCTTCCCAGAAGAGAACAAACAGCTCAATTTCCTTCCAGCAGGAAGGTGTGGGGTGGCAATAGATGTCTCTTTCCTGAGCCAGAAAGACTAGGAAGCAAGCTTGCAGATCATTACAGTAACACCTTCAAGCTACAAAAAGCTAATCAGCAGTTTCCTCTCTGGCTTCCTGTCCCATTGCAGCATCCTGCCACGGTGCCCAGCACCACAGCAACCAGAAACACCACTGCTCTTATCTAATGTCATTCCTTATTAGAGTGCTCAAAGTGAAGGAAAACAACCACTGACCGCTACGTTCAAGCAAACTGATACTGCCAAAAATCTCCTTTAATTTATTGAGATTCCAGTACCCACGCTTCACACACCACCTCCTCTACCAGGATCCTTACTGTTAGGTTAAGGCCTGCGGGTCTCTTGTTTCATCACTGCCATTATATCTGGGACTTGTGAATAAAACCAGATTCTTTGCAGCTCCATTGCCTCATACCCAATATGAAGCTAGGAATAAAAGCATTAGAAAGCCTATCAAAATTATCAGAGGATCACAGAGGAGTACCCTCAAAAGCCCCTGCCACAGTCTTGCCCTTCCTCTGAAGTGCCTACACGGGTCAGGACTCAGCCTGATGTGCACAACACAACAGGCTCATGGTTCAGCAGGCTTGTTACCACCCACTGCTTTAGGGGAACACTCTGCCAGTCAGCTCTTTAGTTGGGAGCAGTAAAAGCTCCAAGGCAATGTCACAGTTAGGCAAGGCTATTACCCTTGCTACAATAAATAAAACTTTCACAAAAGGAAGAAAAAAGTAATCTTTCATCAGGAGGTCTGTTAGCCCTGTGGCTAAAAAATAGCTAGGAAGTTTAGAAAGTGGCTGGACATTACTTGTGTTGTGGTGTTCATAGACAGATGATTTAGTTCTAACACAGCACAGACTCCATCTTGAAGAGCAAGTGATTCCCGTAGGATAACCTGTGCACTTCTCTTTCCTTACTAAAATACCTGGGGTCTTTAAGAGGGACAGGGTGGGTTTTGACAACAATCATGGATATTAAGGCTCTGTGGTATAAGTCACAGAACAGCTCAAACCTCCAGTCCCAAAGCTGGCCTCCCAGTTCTCCCTGCTGATGCTGCTCTTACTTTGTTACCATCTGACAAACGCCCTGGGACAGCACTGAAGTACTCCTGAAGAGCAAAACATTGTTATCAAAGAGGAAAGCTGCAACACATCACCGTATTTTGCCAGGACTATGACCCCAATATGACGTGGCAGGGATGGTAGCTGGCTTTTGACAGAGATAAGGAAAGAGCAACTAGGGTACACGTGATACGCGTGTACTTCAGGAAGAGGGCAGAGAAGAGCTGTATGAAGCCCATCATCGCAATATTGTGGCAAGGACAAGTTAAAGTCAACTCTTTACACTGGCACTAACTGGCATAGACCCCCTTTAGAAGAGTCCTCACTAGCTTCAGCTTGTTACAGCTGTCCCAATGTCGATCTAGAAGGAGAAATCTTTTTGGTTTGGTTTTTTTTTTTTATTATTTTTCATGAACGCTCCAGAAGTATCAGCAACATAAATGCTGTCTCCTGCCAGACCAGGGGAATCAAATGAACAGTCATCTTCCCAGTGTTTCAAAGCATGGATTCAACAGATTCCTCCTGCAGGTGCTTAAGATTTCAGATCCTCCTGCAGCTCCCCTGACCCAAACAGGACTGCTTTCTGCCAGGTGCTAGAGTTGTTATGTGCTTGCCTGGAGAACTCCTCCATCCTGCTGGGTCATTTAAGAAAACCCACCTGTGCGAAATGAATTCTTACTTCTCCGTGGATATCTATATCCCTGCCCACTCGGGTTCAGCTTAAGTGACTATAAACAAGCTGGACACACCACAAAAGCAGCTTAGCAATGCTTGCCTCAGACCTAATTTAAGCCCATGTTGTAAGTGTGTTATTAGTACGAACAAAGGAAGATTTTCAACTGGCTTTGCAAGAAGGATAACTGCTGTCATTTGCTTCTTCCCCCCTCCCCTCCCTCCCTTCCTTGTTTTCTGGGTCTGCAGACAAACCATCACATTATCTTTCTGCTGTTACAGCTCCATGTCCTAATCTCATAGGCACCTAAAGCTCCTATCTCTGCTTACTTACGAATGAGCGTCGGGACATTTTTGGAGGGATTCCATCCAGCTCTGCGGCCCCATTGGGGCCAGATCCATCTTTTCTTCTCTTTCGGGAATTCAGCCTGGAGGAGGTCGGCGGCTCCATCTTGCCAAGCACGTCCAGTCAGAACTGGAACAAAATGAAGGAGAAGGGGAGGAAAAAAAAAAAAAAAAAGAAAAAAAGAAAAAAAGATATATTTCTCAGCTTTTCCAAAGCAGAATCAGTCAACAGCAGGCAGAGTGTACAGAAGGTCAGTGCAAAGACACAGCCACCTAACAAGGGGCTTAGCCAGTTGTATTTGGCATCAGCTGCCAAGGCTTGACAAACAGTGCCTGGTGGGAATACTGAATCATTTAATGCAACTCGGAGCTGTTCTGCAGCAGTCAGCTGGCTGGAGAGACACTCGCACAAGAGTTGCAATGCAAGTTATAAATCATTACTACAAGGCTAACTATGCTATTTTAGCATCTGAAAAGCAACCTAAGGATTAAGGCATGCCCAGTCTGCATTCAGCCCTCTCCCAGCTCTCATTCTGCTGAATGCAAACACTCTTCTACCCTTCTGTGCCTCTCCCTTGCCCAGCAAGACAGCCGGTGGGTGTGCTGCATCCCCGTACAATCCTGAACAGAGGAAGGAGCAGATGGACAAGAGTGAGGGACAGGGTGCAACCCATGGTCATAACTTAAATGACTGGCTGGCTGGTTCTTTGCTTTCCTCCTCCTGTAAGACCAGGCTGCAGCTCCCCAGCAGGGACAGCTCACCTTGGGATGGCTGCCGCTGTGCTCCCCTCTTGTCCCCTGTCCCCACTGCAGTGGTGACTCAGCTGATGGTGAGGCAGCTGCTGACACCACACTAGGGCACATTAGGGCACACTTACTTCTGGCACTTTACGTACCAGGTTGTAATTAGCGGTGGTTCAGCTGAACTGCTTCTGTGATGAACAGACAGACAAACCACCAGCTTGGGACAGAAATCGTGACAGCTATCCAGAAATGAGCTATCCTTGCTTTTGAACTGGAGACGTTGTACCTTCCCAAAAGGGCCCCTGGAGCATTAGGAAGCCCAGCACTCCACACAGCTGAAGCAAAGGGATTTATAGGAATTTAGGGATTTATAGAAACGTATGGCAGCAAACAGCCCTTTTCAGCTGCTACAGGAGTTACAAATGGGTGCTAGATTTGCAAAGTTTGTAACTAAAGACCAGCATTATCTCTCTTGCTCACTTGAAGTGTGCAGCTCTCCAGTGCAACAAATGGCACTTCTGACTGACATTCCTGGGAGCAGCACGACCCCTCCACCCAGGAATGATGCTTATGTGCATGCCTCAACACCCTAATAATAAAGAGCCGTGTGGAATTTAAAACGTCTCCCCACCCACATGCAGTAGGTGTGCTGGAACACGTTAGGTGGGGCAAGCAAGAGGTATGGGAAAGGGCAGATGTCCCTCTGAACATCATCCCTCTCCTTGGCAGGGAGTCTCTGCTGAGCATTCCCGCTCAGGACGAGCTGTGACTGTCCTCGGTGAGGGCTGCTGGGCAAAGCCCTGCTGCTCAGCAACCAAGAAGTGTGGGCTTTGTCAAAGAGATCACTGAGGGGTCAGACTCACTCAAGCATAAATAATTCCAGGTTAAGGAACGTTCTGAAGGAAGGAGCCAAAGGCCGTGCAATACACGTGAACACACTGCTCTCCCCACCCAGCATCAACACGGTGATACCTCACCAACAACGTTAGGGCCAAACACAGTGGAGCTGGTCTTGGGCTACATGCATGTGGGTACCCCAGACTGCACTGCTACACCTAGCACTATGCACTCCTAACAGCTAAAAAGAATCTTAGGTGAGTGAGGAGCCAAAAAAATATTGGGGAGAAGACGAAAGTGACAGTGAAGAGCAGCCACAAGGACATTTCAGAACCACTACTCACTCCATAAGGCCTGCAAGCCAAGTTTCCCCCATTCTGGTAATTAACTTACTATTTCCCAACAACAGACAAACACACGGGAGTGCGCACAAGCAATTTCAGGCAAAAAGAGTTTGCAACCCTGAGCACCAAGTCTTCCAACACTCAAGCGAACGTTTAACTTTCAGGGAAGATCTGTGCTACAAATGCAGAAGGTTCCAGAGGTCCTCTGTGAAAACACAGGGTATGACACAAGTAATTCTTAGGTTTTGCAAGGTGCCATCTCGCAAGCACACTCTGTATCAGTTATTCACTTCACCACACGGTCCTAGCAGTAACCACCCTGTTCATGAAAAGCAGCAGACCTCTGCCTCTTGTTCAAGTAACCCCAGCGTTCATGGAAACAGTGCGGGGGAACAGCCGCAGATTTCCTTGTTATTTGGTCAAAATAATTTCACTCTGCTTCAAGTCACCTGTGGGTCTCTGACCTCTCTCTTTCCTCCCCTTCGGAGAAAATGAAAAGGTCTGTTAATGTGCTGAACGCGGTCACTCTGAACCACTGCCCAGTAAAACATTAAAAATCCCTGGCAGAGGCTTCGGTGCTGAAGTACGGACACGGCAGCCTCCACGCACAAACAGGTAAAGCTCTTCCCAAGCACCCAAGCTTGGCCCACCAGAGCACCCGGACTTCTCTGCACAGAGGTACACCCTCCGCTGCGTTACTGCCAGCGTATCACTGCTGGGTACAGAGCTCAGGGACAGCCGAAACCTGAAGGTTACAACATAGGGAAACACCAGGCTTCACACTGATGTACAGCAGCACTGGCCCAGCCCAGGAGAAATCTCCAAGGGCTTCTTCCAAGCCCTCCTACACCCAGCCGCCCGCTTCCCTCCACCCTAACTCACTCTGCCACTTCTCAGGGTCTACGTAGTCAAATGATGCAAACAACAGATTAAGCAAACGGATTAGGGCCTCTTTATCAGGGAATGTACTGATAGGACAAGGGGTAACGGTTTTAAATTGAAAGAGGGGAAATTTAGATTAGATACTAGAAAGAAATATTTTACTGTGAGGGTGGTGAGACACTTGCACAGGCTGCCCAGAGAAGCTATAGATGCCCCATCCCTGGAAGTGTTCAGGGCCAGGCTGGATGGTGCTTTGAGCAACCTGGTCTGGTGGGAGGTGTCCCTGCCCATGGCAGGGGGTTGGAACTCGATGATCTTTAAGGTCCCTTCCAACTCTAACCATTCTATGACTCTGTGATTTGCTTTGTGGTAAATAAGCGGCAGTGGTCAGACAGCACCAGCAGCAGCTCTGCCTGACGTACTAAGGGAGACACCAGCTTTGAGGATGCTGTAAATATGCTCATTTTGCACTGATGTTACAGGCTAGATGTTGCTGAAGGAGCCTCTGCAGGGTTTGGAGAGCTGGGCACTTCATGAGTGACACAGCTCTGCTAATTACTCAAATTAATGCAGAAACTAAACAATAATTTTACCACTCTTCAGAGCTTTAAAACCTCTATCCTGTGGCTAGTGCGTTTCCGGGAAGTCCTCCCAGCATCAAACTCACCTTCATTATAAACAGGGAACACGTTGTTTTTGAAAACAACCCATACCTTACTGTGATAAAGCTACTAATCTTAGAATGTTTCATTTTGACCCAAATGACTAAAATAGCAACCAAACAATTACTCACTAACAATGGGATGCAGCATCTGTAGCTGAGCTTAATACATGAGTACACAGCCTTGCTTCCCCAAATGCGTAAAACACCGACTGTTCTAAAATTAATTACATTTGCAGCAGATGGGGAAGGGGGAAGAGAAGATAGCTCTCCAAGCTCACTCTGAAAAACTCCAAGATAAAAAGACAGACGTAATTGGAAGAGCAAGCCTGTAAAATATTAACATCATTCTGTCTAAAGCGTTATGGAGAATATGAGAAACTGCTCGCTAGGAGCAAAGTTAAGAAGTGCCCCATTTGGGAAAGTGATGGGCAAATGACGGTCTCTGCGCCACTTTACAAAACACTCAGGGCTTTGCTTCTGAAATGTATTTCTCGGGTGCATATCCTTTATCAAAGAAGCGCTTTGCATCACCTGCCAGCGAGTTCACCTTGAGAGAGAGAGCTGTAGGGGCTCTGCGAGGAGGAGCCGACTGTCAGACGGGAGAAGAGTTGCTCTCCCCGTCTGGGAATCCCTCCTCTCAGTCCCCAAGTGCAGACATTGGACGAAGGAGGGGAAGCAGTCGAAGGGAGAAATAGGCGTTTTCTTTGAACTGTGGCAGTACCGGCCTTCAGAAATGATCCAGCACTTTGCCAAGAGTAATACTACAAAGCTCAAGTGATTTCCCACTGAAATAAAGCTGCTTCTGGGAGGGAAGAAGGACAAGCACTGATTACCACAAAGAAAAAAAAGGAAAAAAAAAAGGTATAGGCAGCAAAGAAATTTAAAACTTCTCCCTTAGTGCGAGTTTACCACACCATTGTCTGTCGGAGCTGGAATTTAACCACAACACCCAAGTTAACACCTCTGGCAGATGGAGAAGGACAGAATAGGCACGAAAATCTTCTTGCTTAGCCAAAGCCTTATCTCACTGTCTGCATCTCCACGGCCAGCACCCATGTTTAGCCTTGGTGGTGCCAGAGAACTGTCTGCCTCACACTACAGGCAGGTCAGATATTCCTGCATCTTAAGAACACTGACGGCATGAAGACCTGTCCCATCTGCATTCTCCCTATCTGCATTCTTTGTGTTTTGAAGTTCCAAGGAATTTCTAGAAGGATATTATCTGCAAATCTTCATGCCATAGCTTAGCAGGATTTCTTTGGCCACTTCCGCTGCTTTTCACTTGCAGATTTAGGCATTGAGGCAAAATAAATCCTGCTACTTAAACTCGAAGCCTGTGGAAAACAAGAGCTGACTGCAACATCTCTGTAAACGCTGGAGCCCAAGGCTGTTGCATTTCCCAGCAATCGAGTCAGGCAGGCTTGGGCAGTGAGGTCCCTCTGACCCCCCCAGCTCCAAGGCTCCCCGGGTGGCACTGGCTGCTGCCAGGCTCCCCCGTGGTCCCGCTGAACTCGGAAGGCGTTGGCACAGTCAGATGTGACTGTCATGTGCTGCTTTGCCTACAAGATCACTCCACTTTACAGGAGCAAGCCATTTCTCTTCTGCTGACTCATCTGCAGGCAAACACTACTAAACTTTGCACTCTGCCAGCTGTCTGCAGAGAATTGCCTTGACACATGGACAGCAAGAGCTTCAAGGAAAAGGAAGAAGTGCTGTCACTTCAGATAATTCCCCTGCCAGGCTGTAAAGTACCCAAATGACCCTTGGTCACGGGGAGAAGAGGATCCTTTTCCCCCTGTTCTCCCTCACCTCCCACCCCCAGCTTACAATTAACCTTACTGGTGGGCATCCCTTCCAGAGGTCTGTTGTAGACAGAAAGACTCAGATGAGGTTAATGACAGAAGACATACAGTGAGAAACTGATGAAAGCCTGTTTACAAGATGAGGGTTAACCTGTACGTAATTATGGGAGAGATCAGGATGTCTCTTCAGTCTGTGCTTAAAGATCTTGCCCAATCTCCAGGGCAAATTAATTCCCAGCTCCAGCCTGTGAGGCCCCGGTTTGCCCCAATCTCCAGACTGAGGGCATCTGCTTAAAAATGGAGTGTTGATGGCTAGGACCCAGCCTGCTCACCTCCAGGAGACTGCCACTCTCCCCAGCACAGCTGCTCTCCCCACAGCCAGCATCAGCTCTATCCAGACAGTCTAAGCCCCTCACGAAGGTCACTGCAGGATGTGGCAGGCAGAGTCCTGTCTACACTGAAGACACGGGCTGCCTTGGCTACCCTGGTTGAGGAAAAGCAGCTATCCTGCAGCCACATGAATGTTAAAAAGGGATTCCAGTCCAACCAGTGCCACATACTGCTCCAACAGCACCCAGACCTTTGCTACACCAGCTAAAACCTTGCATCCCCTACAGCTACAGGCAGGTGGATAATATTTGCTCAAGCAGAGCCCAAGCACGCAGAAGTCCCCATGTCCTGCAATTGATGAAAAGATGCTGCTTTTCACCAACAAAGTCCTGAACGCCTTCAGATAATTCTCTCTAACGCCACCACAACTGAAATCAGTGCAGCCTGATCACCTAGGCAGCGCTGCTAGGAAATACACACACACGAGAAAGAGAAGCTGTAGGCAAGACCTTCTCCGTGAATTCACAGCCCTTCTGGGTACACCAGAAGCCTGAGGCACCCAGCGTCCTGGCAGGTGACAAAGTCTCTGCTGTGGTGAGAGAAGCAGCAAGAATCGGGTTTGTGCAGAATATCAGAAAAGGTTTGGAGCCCGCCCAGGGACAACGAAGCACAAGGATGGGCGGTTGTTCTGCCCTGGCGTCTGTGGTGCCTTGCATTGTGTTTTGTTTTTAGGGCTTAACAACCAGAGCCTTTTGAGACTTTAGGAGGCAACCTCCTTTAGTAGGCTTACACACCAATACCAAATCCTCGCTCCAACAATTATTGTTTGTGGCTCATTCTACAGTAATTTCAAGACTATTCCAATCCAGATCCCGGACCAAGAAACTTCCAAGTCACGAATTTCAATAATTCTGTAGGTACAGGAAATTGCTTCAGGAAATAAAGCACACATATTCACCACCTGGATTTCCGAAGCAGATACGGTGATCGTCCTCAGGCCCTGGAGCCCTGCGGATGGAAACCCAGCAGTACCTGCTTCTGACCACGCCAGCCTTTGCCAACCCCAGGCTGGGGGACCTGGTGCAATGGCACAGGGTGGGGACAGAAGAGGGAAGGCCACCTGCAGCCTCCTGCACCTCCCTCCGCAGCGAGCCAGGGCTACCGATGAGCACCGCAGCTGTCAGAATTCCTGCAGACTTTAACTCTAATTACAAAACCACTAATTAGTGCAGCCAGGACCTTGGTGGACACAAAAAGGGGGTTGGAGAGGATGTGTGCCTGTACAGCAGCTAGGTCACACCTTCCTTCTCCAGTCAGGGCCACCTCCTTCTTGTTCTGCTCCTCTCTCCCCAGGCCATGGCTGTGTCCCCTAGGTGGGGGGATGTCCCCCAGAGCCCCCACGCTCCAAGCCCAGGGGGTGTGCTCCAAAAGTTTCCCAAAGCATCTGCTGCTGTCTCCTCTCAGCCTATTGTACCCTTCCCCACACAGCAGCCTAGGGGGGAAACCTGTCCCCAGAGCCACTCCACAGGGACACCCCCCAAAGCCACCCCAGTGCCCAACCCCCCCGTTCCCCACTGACAGACCCCACAGCCACCCCAGTGTCCCCCCGACACTCCCCAGTA